ATGACACCCAGGTCTTTCTCCGCAGAGCTGCTCTCCAGAAGATCAGTCCCCAGCCTGTACTGGTGTCTGGGGTTATTCCTCCCCAGGTGCAGAACCTTGCACTTGGCCTTGTTGAATTTCATGAGGTTTTTCACCGCCCAGTTGTCCAGTCTGTCCAGGTCCCTCTGGATGGCAGCACAGCCCTCTGGGGTATCGGCTACTCCTCCCAGGAATTCAACTCAAATTCAACTCAAAATTCAACTCAAAGCATTTGAAAATAATAAGTTGTCATACACAGGGTGGACCAACCTTAATAAATGCTACTCTGACACTCCATTAATCATAAACTGGCAACTTAAGATCTTTCTTTCATGACTCAAGAGTTTGTACAGTGTGAACTTATCATGTTCATTTTGTAATTTTTTTTTTTTTTTTTTAGCAGAAGGTAGATTTTTGTGGAAAAGTGTGTCCTCTTCCAAGGAGAGGAAGTCTGTAGGTTGAAGAAATGAAAACTGTCAAAAGTTTCTTGAAGGAATGCTTCAGAGACTATTTTCCAGCTTTTAAGTTTACCGGAACTGCTCTTTTATCCGCCTGCCACAGCAGAGGGGAAAAAAGGGAATAGGGCATAGGTTGCCCAAACAAAGGGCAGTTGCAGTGTTGTAGTCTTAAACTTTTGTTTCATCTAAAATTCTTGGGGTCTGGGGATGGCGTATGCTGGCTCCAATTCTGTGCCCTCTGCTTCTGTGTGGGAGAGAGTTCATTTTCTAAACCTTTAGTATATCTGAACTCTTGTTCAGCTTTAATTGCTGCTAATTTGGAGCAGGGGAGGGATCCCTAAATTAGATGTCATGATCCTGACAGGGTTTTCTACCATCTGTGTGAATATGAAGGCAAGAAGTAGGAAGAGAAGCACTGAGTAATTTGGTCTTCTAGAGCTTATCAGCCATTTCTACAATGATCTTATTTGGGATGCTTTACCTAAGCGTGTTACAGAAAGTAGGATATGCAGATCTTGAGGAATCCTTTACACCATGGAGAAATAATGTATTTTTTTTAATTCACCACTTCATTTTGAAAGCTTCAACAGTGACATGGTAAGAGATTTTTAATGAAATAATACCAAAATAATTCAAATAAATTGTTAAATAATGAATTTTCACATTAAAGAAAGATGGTGTCATTTCACATAACTGTATCTAAGGGTTGATTTGACCTGGAAAAGTATAATCTTTTTAAGTAAGAAAACATAGAGCTTTTTTAAATCTGTATTTTTTAACCAACTTTAATATTTGTTAAGGTAATGCATGTTGGACTAGAACGAAGGTAAATATGCACTGCGAATGCAAACACCTGCTGCTGTGAGTTACTCAAACCTGTAGGCTCTAAAAATACCATCTCTCACAGTAGAAAATGGTTTAAAAAACAGGGTGGGGGAAACACAACGAGAAAAAAAGAACAGTTCTTGACCTGCATTTTGTAGAGGCAGATTGTGCAAAACAATGATTTAAGTGTAACAATTTTCTGAAACTCAAACTCTGGACGTTTGATCGCTGGAGCACTGTGGGAGTCGGCTCCTCAGTCTATAGGTCTGATCATCATCTGAACTGCTTTCAGGGAGTAGGAGCCTCCCCGGTACTCGGCCCAAAAGATGCCGTCCTGGTATTTGCTCCGGTAGTGGCCGCCCCTGTACCACACGCCGTTGAGGTTGGAGTGGGCGCACGCGTTGTACCACCAGCCGCCCTTGTGGAAGTGAGCGCAGTTCCCTGGGGAGCGGAAAGAAACAGGTCAGCTGCAGCCCGTGTGGCCCAGCCGAGGCGCGTTCCTCTGCCGTCTCCCTCGGCCTCTCGGGGGGAAGCCTGAGGCGCTTCGCACCCTGGTGTGCTCATCTGGGTTGCTGCTTTTACCTAACTCATGTGTTCTGCACTCATCCTCGCCTGGCGGGGTGGGTGTTAAACCACGTGTCTAGTGTTCCTGTTTGCTGCAGATGCAGGGACGCACCTGAAAGCTAAGGCGGTGAAGCTGTCCTTCAGGGAACTTAAAGGATGTCCTGCTCAGAGATGCTTAACCGGCACTCCTGTCATTTGATGCGGTCCCAAGCACCACTTGGGGCAGCACAGCTCTGCAAAGACTAAAGTTTAGTCATTTTGGTCAGAATATCCCTTTGAGATGATTTCTCTTATAAGGAGGCGGGAACAAGAAGAGATCTGCCTCTTTTTCAGGTGCTGGTATGTAACTAAGGCACTTTCCTGTTGTTCAGGAGACTTGCTGGGTGATGGCTGCAGCACTGGTCTGAGGTGTCACCCAGGAAGGTGCTTGCACCTCAGTCATGTACGAGTAGTAAGGATGGCATTTAAATATAACGTTTACTCAAATGTGTTTGCTTGAAGAATTTGATTAGAATTGAATTTGAGCTGTGCAGTAGCTTGAAGGGGGCTTCCTCAGTGAGACTTTTATCATTACCTGCTTAAAGCAACTTTCTATGGAATTATCAGAATTCCCCTGGTTTGTGTGTTGTGTTGCTTTAAAGGTGGTATCTCCATGGGTGCCTGCTATGTTGACTCTCTCTTACCTGTGTACATATCCCTGTCTCTGTCCAGCGTTGTGAACTGCTTTCCGTTGTGCCATATCATGGAGTCGCCGGCATTGCCCTGGTACGTGCCCAGGCGCAGCCGATAGAACTCGCTCTCGGGCTCCAGGCGGAAGCTGCTGTATTCCGCGTAGACCTTCTTGTTGCTCCAGTCTTCCAGTTCAATCAGGAGCCTGTAGTTGTCCTGGTTGGTAAGCATGTAGATATTTTCCAGTCCCAGCCAGTACTCTCCGTCGATGTTTCCGAATCCTTTCTGCATGCAACAACATGAG